CATGTGATTTGTTTCTTTTCTCTAACTGCTTGTAGAACTTTGTTCTTCTGTTGGGTTTCTGGAATCTTAACAATTAAATGCCTATGTGTAGATTTTTTTTTTTTGATCAAGGCTAGTTGGAGTGCTATATGGCTCACTTATCTGTATGTCAAGTTCTTTTCCCCTTCTTGGGAAGTTTTCTGCCATCACTGCTGTGAACAGTTTTTTTATGTTGCCTGCACTCTCTCCTGTTTCTTCATTGACTCCAAGCAGCCTTACATTATTCTTCTTTGCATCGTCTAGCAGCTGCTGGATTGATTTCTCATGGTCCCTTACAATTTTTAAGCAATTTTTCTTTCCCTGGGCACTAATTGCAATCTTATCATCTATATCTGAAATTCTGTCCTCACATTGGCTCATTCTGCTGTGTAGCCTTTCAATGGAGTTTTTAATCTCTTGGAAATCTGTTCGCATATGTTTTATGGATTCCATTTGTTTCCTATGTTGGGATTCCATCATGTTCCTTAGCTCCTCTCTAGAATTATTAATCATGTCTTGCACTACGAGCACCATCTTTACTGTTATCTGAGAGATTATTTCTGATTTCATTTTTTCCAGATCCTCTTTTATTGCCAGTTCAGGGAGTCCAAGTGGTTGAGTATCAGAGTGTTTCATTTCGTTTCCTTTTGGGATTGGTGTAGGTGATCTGGAAGTCTGTTTTTGAGACTTGTTTATGTGTCTTCTCATTTCAACGGGGCTGGGCGGTGGGGAGGGTGCTGCTGGCACCCAATCGGCTCACCTCCTCTGTGCTGGCAGGGGTGGTATGGTGCCCAGAAGCCTCCTCTTGTGCGCTGGGAGCGGCTCACCTCCTCTCTGCTGGTGGGGGTCTGGTTTGATGATTCTTTATGTTTTATCTTTTATTAATGGACTTTAGAACACTTTTAGATTTACAGAAAAATTAAACAGGCAATAGAGAGTTCCCACGAATTCCTCCTCCCTGTTTCTTCTATTAACATCTTACATTAATATATTATAATTAATGAATCAATATTGGTCCTTTGTTATTAACGAAAAGCCACTTTATTCAGATTTCCTTTGTTTTTGTCTAATGACCTTTTTATGATTTGGGATCCTATTCAACTGAAAAGTCACATTTAATTGTTCTGTTAGTTGTCATGTTAGTTGTCATGTTAGTTAACATGTCATGTTAGTTGTCCACATTATGTTTAGTTGCCACGTGTCCTTAGGTTCCTCTTGGTTGTGTCAGTCACCTTCATTGTTTTGGATTATGAACCAGGCTGAAAATCTGATGAAAGGTCAGGGTCCTCTCCACAGAAACATGTGAACTTCAGTCTAATTTAATGGAGGCCTATGCAGCACATTCAGAAGCCCTGCCTTAAGGAGAAAAGTTATCTTTAAAATATCCCTTTCCTAAAGCTTTTGTACATGGGGAGGGGAGGGGGGCTTGAGGGAAGGAATGGGATAAAATAAAATTTATTTTAAAAAATTAAAATATCCCTTTCCCCAGATTTGGACTCTAGTTCAGGCTTTCCTGTTTAATTGTTGTGTAATCTTTTGCCAGTGTTTTCTATGTGGGCCTCAGTTTCATCTTCTGTGAAATGAGGGGTTTGGTTTACACAATGCCTCAATACATTTCTGGCAAAGTAAAAGGTGGGCATCATCTGGAGTTATCACCATCTGAGGAACAAGGGTTGGTAAGGGAGGACCAAGTCAAGTTATTCCAGGGAAGTGGATGAGCTTATCGATAAGGAGGCTGCAGAGGTTCAGGTGAGAAAAACAGGGTTCCACTTCAAGGCTTTATAGATTTTGCAAGTCATTTCCTCCCTCTGGGCTTCAGTTTCCTCATCTACAAAACGAGGAAGGCCTTGCTTTGGTAACTATGAGACTCCTGGGAGCAGCAGAGGAGAATGTGTCTGGCAAGATAAATTATGATAGGTCGGAGAAAGCAGGTGAAAGGCAGGTCTGAGGAATTCGAGGCAGGGCCGAAGACTTAGGAAAGAAGTAGTAGAGTCCTTCCAGCACGGTCTCAGCCCCGCCTCCTCACTTTCTTTCCTGTCCCCTCCCCTCAGAGTGCGACGCGCCACACTTCGCAAGGCGGCTACCATAAGCCGCTTCCCATAGCTCAAAGGGCTCGAGGGACCTCCCCCGTCGCCACTTCACTCCCGTCCCTGCCCGCCTTCTGCCTCTTGGGATTGGCTGGTCGCGTAAGTGACGTAACGCTCCATTTTTTTTTTTTTCTACTCCTCAATTATCTCTGACTCGGTTCCGCCTCCTCTTTGCTTCTGCTGACGTAAGCGGAAACGTAACCTGCTCGGGTTTCGGCTGCGCCGGGGCGCCGGTCGAGTTGGGTAGACCAAAAGGCCCTGGCGGGGGCGCGCACGCACAGACGCACGCACTCCGGCGGCCGGCCAGAAGGCAGGCTCGCGCCCGGGCTCGCCCCGCGCCGCGCCAGAGCTCGCGCACTCAGCAGGTTGGGCTGCGGCGGCGGCAGCTGTGTAGCTGAGGTGCTGCGTGCTAAAGGTTCCGGGCGCGTCTGCAGCTACGGCTCTGGCACCTTCTGCGTCTCTCTCCACAGTCTCAGTGTCGGGTGTTGAGGAAAGGAACGGCGCTAGCCTCGGGAACCCCGCGCACCCCATTAGTTGCCTCCGACACCGCCCTCCTTTCCTTCCCACCCGCGGGCCTTGCTCGGAGCCAGGCGACTCTGCGGGGAGGCGAGGCGACGGCTGTCCGTCTGTGGAGAGTCCTGCTGCCCTCCAGCCTTGCTCCTCCGTCCGTCCTGCAGGGGCCGAGAAAGCTCGGCGCCCTCCCTTTCGCCTTCTTCGTCAGCCGGTGGGAGCGGCGTCGGTCCGCGAAGTCTCTGGGCTGAGTCGGTGGCAGCTCCTCCGGCTTCATCATGTCCGCAGGCGGAGACTTCGGGAATCCGCTGAGGAAATTTAAGCTGGTGTTCCTGGGGGAGCAGAGCGGTGAGTGCGCGCCGGCTGCCGCTTCCCCACACCGCCCCCAGTGCGGCCCTTCGGCTCGCCGCGGGTCCCCGCCGGCCTCTTGTCAGCGCCGGGTTCCACCCACCCCTTCCCCCGGCTCCTCAGCGCCAGGATCTGTCGGCCAGATTTTTACCCCCAGCCCTCAGGCCCTTTGGTTCCGACTCAGCAGTCCCCGTTCCCCGCTGCCCGGCCCTCTCCCATCGGTCTGCCCCCCCTTCCCAGCCTGAGTCTTCTGTCCATCCCTTTCTTCCTCCGGCCTCCATCGGCTCCCTTTCCCCGACTCTTTCTTGAGCCCCACCCTTACTCCTTGCTCTTTCTCAGTTTGTCAGCGACTTGAGGCCCAGCCAGGAAGCCCCATTCCTGGGAACCGGCTCTCTTCAACCTCGGGCCCGGAGGGTGGGATCTGGGCGTTGTTTTCCCTAGAGACTTGCCCCGAGAAATGCAGATCTTCTGGAAGGTGCCAAGTGGTGGTTGTAGGAAAAAAAAATCTGGAATGGTTTTCTCCTAGGTGGGAAATTAGCCTAGGTTGTAGAGGAAATATATCTGAATTGGAGGCGACTTGAACGTGGGGTTCTTGGAGGTGAGAGGGATGGCGTTGGCAGTGACGATTCCTGGGGTTGGGCTGTGGCTTGTTGAAAAAGCTCATTTTCTTCTCTGGACTTTCATCACTGACAATTCTTTTGGCAGTGTTGATGCTTTTTCTGTCTCTGCCAGATGCTATGTCATGATCGTTTTACTGGGATTTTTCACATCTCATCTCCCTATTTTCTCCTTTCAACGTGAAACAGCGTTTGGTTCTCATGGTGGTGCAAACAGGAATTACTGGGGAAATGTTAATTCATTTCTTCTAGAGTATTTTAATTATATATTTAGGATTTATGTGAGAAAAGGGTTAGAATAAGGAACATCTTTGTTTTGTAGGGTTTCCTTTGGGTTATGGAGCAGGAATAGATTCATCATCTATCTAAATTAGGTTTTAATACCATTTGAGCTAAGTGATTTTCTTTTATGTCTAATATTTCGTAGTATCTTATGAGTGAAATTATGCCATTTACCTGGTCTGGGTTCTGCTGTCGCTGTATTAGGGTACAGTACAAGATTCAAATTTTGTGCTGGTTGTCTCTAAGATTATTTATAGTAATAGCAGTTTTATGCTGTATTATACAAATTTAGCAGTAATTCAGAGATTATCACATCCTTTTTCTCTCACACTTTTCTTGACCATCTTTAAAATTCAAACATTGAGAATTTAATTCCAAGTCATCAAACATTGACTATCTACTAGGTGTCTTAGGTGACGTTATAGAAAATTATTTGTTTTGACTGGAAGGCATGTAACTGCTATAAAGTCATAGCTTTTATTACTATCTTGAACTATTTATATTAATTTGTATGGCATTACAGCAGGGTAATAATACTCTGAAAAATCGACTCCAGTTTGACCTGGGAAATAGTTTTTCTTCTTTCATATCTTCCCCTACCCCTCTCCCCCAACTTTTTTTTTTTTTTTTCCAGTACCAGGGATTGAACCCAGGGCCTTCCCACTAAATTACATCCCAGCCTCTTTTTTTTTTTTTTTTTTGGAATAAAGAGCTTCACAAAGTTGCTAATTGCCCAAACAGGACTGGAACTTGCAGTCCTCCTGTCTCAAACTCCCAGAGTATTGGGTTTACAAGGGTATACCACTACATCCTGATTTACTGGGGTGGGGAGGATACTTCTCCCTGTTTTGCTTTGTTTTGTTTTGTTTTTTGGTGGTACTAGAGATGAACCCAGGGCCTTGCACGTGCTAGGCAAGTGCTGTACCACTGATTTATACCCCAGCCCTGTTTTTGCTTAGGGATTTTCCTTCGGTAAGTATAAGCTTGTTTTTTTAGGTGAGTACTTGGTGGGACCTATGAAGTTGATCCCGGTCCAGCTATTATATGGCAATTTCTGGACAATGCCATATATAAAATATAGCTTATTGGTCATCATTTATAAATAGACTCTAAAGTGCTTATTGGGTACTCTGGGGATATTACTGGTTTATGTTGTGATGCAAAGCTACTTAGTTTGCATGAAAAATCCATTAATCTGTCTAGGAAATTTTTTGCATGAAGAGCTCTTAAGTATCTGCACGTTTCCTTTGAGTTTTTTGAGTACTGTATTTATGTTCCCAATCATGTTGCAGAGTTTTATGGCTTCTCATTTCTTTCTTTAAGCCTTTACTAACTCCTCCCGTTTATTGCCTCACCCCACTCCCTCCCCCAGATAATTCTTGAAGCCTTGCTATAGATTTTTTAAAAAAAAAAATTTTTTTTGTTTGTTTATTTTTTTGAGACAGGGTCCCAAAACCTCTGTAGTTCAGACTGGCCTTGAACTCACTATGTAGTCCAGGCTGTTCTCAACTGTCAGCGATCCACCTGCCTCATCCACCAGAGTGCAAGGATTTCAGGCACACTCCACTGCGCCCAGCACTTTGTATTTTTAGAACAGGTTTAGACTTATAGAAACATTGAGAGAATAGTGTAGGGGGTTCTCCTATGCCTCTTTGCCTAGTTTCCTCCATTATTAATATTTTAGTGTGGTACATTTGTTAATTAATGAACCAGTATTGATATATTATGAATTAAATTTCATAGTTCATTCATATTTCCTTGGTTTTTACCTAATGGCCTTTTTTCTGTTTCAGCTTTTCATTCAGAATAACACATTACGTTAAAATTGTCATGTCTCCTTAGGCTACACTTAGTGTTTCTTTAGGATTATGTTTACATGCTTTTTGCGCTGTGGAACTGTGAGGTCAATTATCTTCTGAGGTTACTATTGTATATTGGTAAGTGGTGTCATCCTGTAGCTTTGACAATGAAAGATTGATCTTTGTTTTTATGGTTGGTGTCTGTAATTTTCTTATGCATTAGCAAAGGTCTGTAGAATCTTATGTCATGTTAATGTAATTCTTTCTGAATTATTTATTTTTAGGTCTGTTAGAATTCCACAATTCAGTTTTCAAAGCTATCATCTGTGGCAGAGTTTTATTTCCTTAATAACTTGTACCACATTTATACTTATCTTTTTTTTTTTTTTTTTTGGGTACCGGGGATCGAACTCGGGTCCTTGCGCTTGTGTAGCAGGCCTTGAAACCACTGAGCTAAATCCCCAGCCCAATACTTATCTTTTTATTTTTTGTTTTTGTCTGTTTCTCACAGCAGAATGTAAGTCCCATGAAGATTAAAAAAAAAACTATCATTTTTTTTGTTCATTGTATCCTCGTTGCTTATAATAGTGCCCAGCTTGTAGTAAATGCTCAGAAATATTTGGTGAATGATGGTTAAAATCTAATAGTAACCAAAGCTAGTAACCTATATTATACTTTTTGCTATGAAGAGGTCTACATTTTTCCTTATGAAATTAATGGTTTAACAATAACATTTTATGCTTCTATCACTTCATTGTATACTCCAGATGCTGAGAAGTAGGGTAGAGAAACCAAAAATTTAGTGGCTAAACCACTCCCCCAAATGACCCACATTTTATACTTTTGTTTTTGTTTTGAGACAGGGTCTTGCTGTGTAGTTCTGGCTGACCTTGAACTCACTGTGTAGCCCAGGCAGGCCTTGAACTCCTGGCAGTCCTCCTGCCTCACCTTCCCAAGTGCTGGAATTACAAGCGTGTGCCACTGTGCCTGGCTTTTATACTTTTTTTGGAGCTGAACAAAATTCTTGCTTTGATAAAGCTGTTAAGTTATTTGTTATTAGTGTAACATGTAAAAATATGTCAAATTATATTAAAGGTGTGTATTCATGAAATGATTGGTTATTAGCTAGACCAACTTTTAGCTTATCAAATTTTTTTTAGTTTATCAAAAATTTAAGGTGCTAAGCTTTGTAGTGAAGATGAATTGTTTGAGGATATGCAATAGATTGAGTTAATGACATCAGTCTTGGTAATCTTCATACAAATCTCTTGTGGTTTGTCTGTATTTCATTATTATACCTGCCCTAATAGAGCAGTGGCAGAGGCACTTCTAGGAATCTCCTTAAATGGTTTACAGTAGATTTTACTATATACTGTATACAAGTGTTAGCTGTTAATTAGGAAATATAATGGCAGGGAGAAGCACACACCTACTGCTGTTCCTTCACTTTATATTGCCCATTTTATGTCTCTTTAGAATTGCAATATGCTAGGTAGGGAAAAAGTGTCATGAGTCTAATAGTACTGAACAGCTCATACTATATTCTAGATCATATTGTTTGTATTGTGTTACATATTAATGTATATAAATTCCCTGTGAATTTCTTATGAATAGACTGTATGAAACCACTTGACTAGCAGTTTTTTTTTTCCCAGTGCTGGGGATCGAACTCAGGACCTTATGCTCTTGAGGCAGGCACGGCCACCACTGAGTTAAATCCGCAGGTTGACCAGTAGTTTTTAATACA